TGGTACCTAACAGTTACAATATGATGTATTCCTCGTGGTACCTAACAGTTACAATATGATGTATTCCTCGTGGTACCTAACAGTTACAATATGATGTATTCCTCGTGGTACCTAACAGTTACAATATGATGTATTCCTCGTGGTACCTAACAGTTACAATATGATGTATTCCTCGTGGTACCTAACAGTTACAATATGATGTATTCCTCGTGGTACCTAACAGTTACAATATGATGTATTCCTCGTGGTACCTAACAGTTACAATATGATGTATTCCTCGTGGTACCTAACAGTTACAATATGATGTATTCCTCGTGGTACCTAACAGTTACAATATGATGTATTCCTCGTGGTACCTAACAGTTACAATATGATGTATTCCTCGTGGTACCTAACAGTTACAATATGATGTATTCCTCGTGGTACCTAACAGTTACAATATGATGTATTCCTCGTGGTACCTAACAGTTACAATATGATGTATTCCTCGTGGTACCTAACAGTTACAATATGATGTATTCCTCGTGGTACCTAACAGTTACAATATGATGTATTCCTCGTGGTACCTAACAGTTACAATATGATGTATTCCTCGTGGTACCTAACAGTTACAATATGATGTATTCCTCGTGGTACCTAACAGTTACAATATGATGTATTCCTCGTGGTACCTAACAGTTACAATATGATGTATTCCTCGTGGTACCTAACAGTTACAATATGATGTATTCCTCGTGGTACCTAACAGTTACAATATGATGTATTCCTCGTGGTACCTAACAGTTACAATATGATGTATTCCTCGTGGTACCTAACAGTTACAATATGATGTATTCCTCGTGGTACCTAACAGTTACAATATGATGTATTCCTCGTGGTACCTAACAGTTACAATATGATGTATTCCTCGTGGTACCTAACAGTTACAATATGATGTATTCCTCGTGGTACCTAACAGTTACAATATGATGTATTCCTCGTGGTACCTAACAGTTACAATATGATGTATTCCTCGTGGTACCTAACAGTTACAATATGATGTATTCCTCGTGGTACCTAACAGTTACAATATGATGTATTCCTCGTGGTACCTAACAGTTACAATATGATGTATTCCTCGTGGTACCTAACAGTTACAATATGATGTATTCCTCGTGGTACCTAACAGTTACAATATGATGTATTCCTCGTGGTACCTAACAGTTACAATATGATGTATTCCTCGTGGTACCTAACAGTTACAATATGATGTATTCCTCGTGGTACCTAACAGTTACAATATGATGTATTCCTCGTGGTACCTAACAGTTACAATATGATGTATTCCTCGTGGTACCTAACAGTTACAATATGATGTATTCCTCGTGGTACCTAACAGTTACAATATGATGTATTCCTCGTGGTACCTAACAGTTACAATATGGTGTATTCCTTGTGCTACCTAACAGTTACAATATGGTGTAATCCTCGTGGTACCTAACAGTTACAATTTGATGTATTCCTCGTGGTACCTAACAGTTACAATATGGTGTATTCCTCGTGGTACCTAACAGTTACAATATGATGTAATTCTCGTGGTACCTAACAGTTACAATTTGATGTATTCCTCGTGGTACCTAACAGTTACAATATGGTGTATTCCTCGTGGTACCTAACAGTTACAATATGATGTATTCCTCGTGGTACCTAACAGTTACAATTTGATGTATTCCTTGTGGTACCTAACAGTTACAATATGGTGTATTCCTCGTGGTACCTAACAGTTACAATATGATGTATTCCTCGTGGTGCCTAACAGTTACAATATGACACTCTGTGTTTGTGATAGAATTTATGATAATTTCAAATTTACACAAAAAGTTGAAATCCAAAATCTTTCACTTTTTACTGAGAACTTCCTCACCAACTCCTCTATTGCTGGTTTGTACTAGAGAGGTTACTTGTGTTTGAAACACTGACCTTATCATGTCACATGCAGTAGCATTTTGTCTATCAATAGATTTCTCTGCTGACAAGGACAAGGCATTATGCAAAACTGGGGGTATCCTGAAATGGGGAAAATACCCCAACTACTCAAAGCATACGTCACCATAGGGACTTTTAAATAGGAATATCCTTAACAATCCTATAAAATATTAACATTGACCTTGGCCTTAACCTTGGAACTCTGGAAACTCATTAAAAGAGTTCTCATACTTGACCTTGAAGTTTTATCAAAATCTGTGAAATTGTTCAAGCGATGTCACTGTATTGACTGACTTACTTTTATTGATAGTAACAGTGACCTTTGCCTTGAACATTCGATCCTGAAAGCAGGTTCATACGAGATATTCCTACACTTGAACTTTGCATTCAGTTTGATCAAATCTGTTAAGAGATATAGCTTTTAGTGTGATGACACTAAGTCAGGATGTCATGATTACCAGTGCAGTGAAGCAAATCCTTGTCAGGCCCAATGATAGTTAACCCCTGAAAGAGGTCACATCCTAGGTTTACATCTGGAGGTTACAACCAGAGGTCGGTGAGGTCACTGAGTTCCCAACCTGAGGTTAAATGTTCTAAGCGACCTCTCTCTAACTTTGTAGACCGAATATAATATCAGTGGTGAAGAAGGTCTCAGTGGAAAATGAAGCTTCATCTATGGTTTGAAAATTTGAGTTTAAATATTGTTTTATTATCACACATAGGAAATAAGTTCAAACATTAAATCCAAACTTATTACAACATCACAACACTGCTAGGAAAATTGTAGTTTGACAAACTTTTGATGATATTAAAACTAGTTTGACAAACTTNATAATGTACAGTGTGTAGATTGGTGAAATGTAGTGTGTAGGTTGGTGAAACGTACAGTGTGTAGATTGGTGAAACGTACAGTGTGTAGATTGGTGAAATGTACAGTGTGTAGATTGGTGAAATGTACAGTGTGTAGATTGGTGAAANTAGTTTGACAAACTTTTGATGATATTAAAACTAGTTTGACAAACTTTTGATGATATTAAAACTAGTTTGACAAACTATAATTAGCGTCACGAACAACGTAGCACTGTGTAACATAGCAACCAAAAACAATCAGCTGATTGGTGAAACGTATAGTGTGTAACATAGCAACCAAAAACAATCAGCTGATAGGTGAACCGTACAGTGTGTAGATTGGTGAAACGGACAGTGTGTAGATAGATGAAACGTACAGTGCGTAGATTGGTGAAACGTACAGTGTGTAGATTGGCGAAACGTACAGTGTGTAGATTGGTGAAACGTACAGTGTGTAGATTGGCGAAACGTACAGCGTGTAGATTGGTGAAATGTACAGTGTGTAGATTGGTGAAACGTACAGTGTGTAGATTGGTGAAACGTACAGTGTGTAGATTGGTGAAACGTACAGTGTGTAGATTGGTGAAACGTACAGTGTGTAGATTGGTGAAATGTACAGTGTGTAGATTGGTGAAATGTACAGTGTGTAGATTGGTGAAATGTACAGTGTGTAGATTGGTGAAACGTACAGTGTGTAGATTGGTGAAACGTACAGTGTGTAGATTGGTGAAACGTACAGTGTGTAGATTGGTGAAACGTACAGTGTGTAGATTGGTGAAACGTACAGTGTGTAGATTGGTGAAACGTACAGTGTGTAGATTGGTGAAACGTACAGTGTGTAGATTGGTGAAACGTACAGTGTGTAGATTGGTGAAACGTACAGTGTGTAGATTGGTGAAACGTACAGTGTGTAGATTGGTGAAACGTACAGTGTGTAGATTGGTGAAACGTACAGTGTGTAGATTGGTGAAACGTACAGTGTGTAGATTGGTGAAACGTACAGTGTGTAGATTGGTGAAACGTACAGTGTGTAGATTGGTGAAACGTACAGTGTGTAGATTGGTGAAACGTACAGTGTGTAGATTGGTGAAACGTACAGTGTGTAGATTGGTGAAACGTACAGTGTGTAGATTGGTGAAACGTACAGTGTGTAGATTGGTGAAACGTACAGTGTGTAGATTGGTGAAACGTACAGTGTGTAGATTGGTGAAACGTACAGTGTGTAGATTGGTGAAACGTACAGTGTGTAGATTGGTGAAACGTACAGTGTGTAGATTGGTGAAACGTACAGTGTGTAGATTGGTGAAACGTACAGTGTGTAGATTGGTGAAACGTACAGTGTGTAGATTGGTGAAACGTACAGTGTGTAGATTGGTGAAACGTACAGTGTGTAGATTGGTGAAACGTACAGTGTGTAGATTGGTGAAACGTACAGTGTGTAGATTGGTGAAACGTACAGTGTGTAGATTGGTGAAACGTACAGTGTGTAGATTGGTGAAACGTACAGTGTGTAGATTGGTGAAATGTACAGTGTGTAGATTGGTGAAACGTACAGTGTGTAGATTGGTGAAATGTACAGTGTGTAGATTGGTGAAACGTACAGTGTGTAGGCAAACAATGTCATCACTGTGTGGAGATTGTCACTGATTAATAAGCATGTATACAAAGGTCAGAGGTCATGAAGAACCACCTGTACACTGTACCTGATATCTTGTTTTCTACGAGTGTTGTATGGAAATTACAAAAAAAAAAAATCAAAAAAATCAAGAATTAAAAATATGAAATTCAACTCAAGAATAAATCCTTACCCTTAAGATTTTGCAATTTTGTACTTGAAATCTTCATATCTGATTATTTTTTATAACAGAAACAGCATTTTGAACATTCCCAATTAAACCTTATCTGTTATACAACACAAAAGATATGATAGTCAATAAGAAAATATTACAATAAGATTGATCATTTTACCTTGATATTAAATCAGGATCAAATAAAATCTAATTTGCTACCTGTTTAATGAGATATTGCTTAAAAGTCGTTATTACAAACAGAACATTTTCTTTACTTTTTCATTCAATACCGCTGTATTGCTATATCATGACTGAGCACGTAGTTATTCCCAATGTTTCTATAAAATATCACCTGTATAGAAAACCTTTAGAATCAATATGAGCATGCTGTCTTACCTGAACTAATAACAAATTCCTTTCCACTTAGTATGTGATGCAGAAGAGTTTTCAGCTCAAAGGGAGATAAGTTAAGTAGATGATCCGATGCCTCATCACCTAAATAATCAAAATTACAAATTATTAAATTAGCACAATATTTAGAAGTCTTAATATCTGAATTGTTCCTTTGTAAGTTTGGTGTTTTCCTACTGAAAAAAAAGGTTTGACTGGAGCATAATTGGCCTCCATCAATGAAGCAGCCAAGTGGATTTTAGACAGTTCAAAGTTTATCTTCTGATGATTTATATATTACCTGAACATTTAAATGTCCTGGAGAGTTCTGAGGCCATCACTTGGACACTATAATATACCTGAACATTTAAACGTCCTAGAGAGTTCCGAGGCCATCACTTGGACACTATTATATACCTGAACATTTAAACATCCTGGAGAGTTCCGAGGCCATCACTTGGACACTATTATATACCTGAACATTTAAATGTCCTAGAGAGTTCTGAGGCCATCACTTGGACACTATTATATACCTGAACATTTAAACGTCCTAGAGAGTTCTGAGGCCATCACTTGGACACTATAATATACTTGAACATTTAAATGTCCTAGAGAGTTCTAAGGCCATCACTTCGACACTATTATATACCTGAACATTTAAATGTCCTAGAGAGTTCTGAGGCCATCACTTGGACACTATTATATACCTGAACATTTAAACGTCCTGGAGAGTTCCGAGGCCATCACTTGGATGATGAGTCCCACCCTCAGCCTCAACATCTCGTGGAACAGCTTTGGCTCAGTCCTGATAAACATGGCCAGGTAGATAAGGATCTCCTATCAACACACAAACATATGTCACCATTAGGACCAGTCTTAGAATATAGAGTCGTCACACCATAGACAATAGGTATTTGAGATTTAGGTTTCTTGCAACTCACTGAAATTTTGATAGACCACGGAAAGTTTTCTTGATCTTATTATTTTGTGTTCATTAACATGAAATAATGAAAATATGTGTAACAAGAGGCCCAGAGGGCCTGTATCGCTCACCTGGATACCAAAGCAATCATGGCAAAATATTCTCCGAATGAGATCAAGGGAATATGCCAGACCCCAAGGCCAATCCTTGTAGCATATCTGTATTAGATTTTTCATGCCCAGCAATTTTATGTATGGTTATGGGGTGGGGATCTCAACTGTTTCCAAGCTTTGACTCAGAAACTAGGTCCCTAGGGTTGTGGCCAGACCCTTGGATCAATTCTAATATCGTGACTGCATTTGTCTCTTTTTGCCCAGCATTTGTATATATAGTTTTGGGGTGGGGATCTCAACCGATTCAAAGTTATGACCCAGGGGTTAAGTCTGCAAGGGTGGGGCAGACCCTATAGCCATCCTGGAAGCAAATATGCATTCTTCTCTTTACACTCAGCAATTGTATACCAGGGTTATATGGTGGGGATCTCAACCATTTCCAAGTAATACACTTTTTTTGGCCCCTCCCCTTAGCCCGGGGGGGTCAGCCCCACCATTTGTACAATTTTGAATCCCTGCCTCCCATGAATGCTTCCGACCAAATATGATCAATATCCATGGCATAATTCTACAGAAGAAGTCGTTTATAGCAATACAGCCAAATTGACCCCTTTTTGTCCCGCCTCTCAGCCCCCTGGGGGGTCAGCCCCACCATTTGTACAATTTTGAATCCCTGACACCTAGGGATGCTTCCAGTCAAATATGGTTGATATTGACTTCTTAGTTCCAGAGAAGAAGTCGCTTAAAGCAATACAGCCAAATTGACTCCTTTTGGCCCCGCCCCTCAGNGGGGGGGGGTCAGCCCCATCATTTGTACAATTTTGAATCCCAACCACCTAGGGATGCTTCCAGTCAAATATGGTTGATATCCACTTCTTAGTTCCAGAAAAGATGTCGCTTAAAGCAATATTGCCAAATTGACACCTTTTTGCCCCGCCCCTCAGCCCCCAGGGGGGGTCAACCCCATCATTTGTACAATTTTGAATCCCCAACACCTAAGGATGCTTCCAGTCAAATTTAGTTGAATTCCAATCAGTGGTTAAGAAGAAGAAGTTGTTAAAGAAATTGTTGACGTATGGACGGACGGACGCATCGGTATGGCATAAGTTCACCTTGGTCCTTCGGACCAGATGAGCTATTAATAAAAGGAAGCAAGTAATTTCACAGAGGACTTTTTCTTTCACTACTATACTTATCACTATACTTATCACTAAATCATATATGTCATGAGAAATAACTTCAGACATTTTGGTCTATTAAGTAAAGGACTCCTTTAGACATACGGTGTTTTTCACTAGATTGTCTATGGGTCTACCATTAAGTAGAAGAGAACAGACGAGGAAGGATTATATAAGCAGGTGCTTGCATTTCAAATCCTAAAATATGTAATTTAAATGTCTATATGATCTCTCCTTGTTAACTTTTGTATTCAACTTTATGTAACATATATAGAGAAAACTTTATTACTGAAAGGCCAATCTTATTGACTTATTTGATTGACAGTTTCACTGAGTATCTGGCCTAAAGTCACATTGTTTATTTTACTTCAACAAAACAAAAGATGCGTCGTTAATTCATTTTTTGTATTCAACACATAGCATGTGGAAACTAATTCATTATTTGTTTTTTTCCAATTTGTATTTTTTGAAAAACATATTTGCACTCAATAAGCTTACCTGTGTGAGGGATGCTGTACTGAGATCAGCTCCACAGGCATCAAATATTATGGTAGCCAGTTCATCTGGGGGCAGGGGACTGAAACACACATACAACAACTCGTCTACATATCTCTTCACAGTTTAAAGAGATTTTCAAGTAGAGTGAATGTGTCAAGCCGATTTTTCATTTTCCATATTGTTTACATATTTTTTGTTTAACAGTGGGTTTTTTCAGTATATCATTTCACTTATCATGATATTGGAAATCTCAAAGATCCAATCTCAGTGTTTTTTGTCTTCCATTGAAACCAATAGTCAAGATCACTACAAGGTAAGGTATTGGTTAATAAGCAGAGGACCCAAGTCCATACCTGTGACACTGACTTACCAGGAGATCTCCTTCTCCCTGTGGGGTGGTAGGCCAATAGATAACAGTTTCTGTCTCACCAGCAGATCAGTGGCAGCCTGTATAACAACAAACAAGATCTCCTTAGTATTAAGGAATCCCTATACCACAGCCAAAACTGTCACTATACATTACAACACCATACAAGATCTCCTTAGTATTTAGGAATCCCTATACCACAGCCTAAACTGTTACTATACATTACAACACCATACAAGATCTCCTT